GAATGGCTCTTGCCTCCAGTCATTATTACTGTGGTGTTTGCCTAATTTTCTATTTCCCTCAATTCCTTCTATTCTTATAATTGAAATTCTACTAAACAAAGACTTGGCCCTTCACCATATATTTATAGATTGATTCAGTTACTTATAGCAGTATGGACGCATGGATATTTAGTTTATTCTCTGGGCTATAATACAATGCATTTTATTTTATTGCTCAAATTGCTCTGGTTTAGACTTCTGGGAACACCTCAAGCTGTTTCCGGTGTCCTTTCAATAAGCCTCCATCCTTCCTTTTGGGGGCACTTCCTTACTTTGTGACATCATAAGATGTTTCAGATTCATCTTGTATTTCCCTCACTCCAGGCCTAGAATCAAACATTTCTCCAAGAAGCTCTGATTCCTTTTATTAAAGAAATGGTGTTTTGAAACCAAGATCTGGGTCCTCTCCACATGTATGTGCTCATGATGGCATACTTTTAAATCTGTTGTTTTGTTTAGCATGCCTTTCAAATTTTGGTAGATTAATTATAATAATTTGTCACCTAAAAGGAATTTTTATCAGGAGAATATGAAGACAGGCATTTTTAATGTAGCTCCTTTGAATCTTAACTGTATAACAAAATAGGGACATTTAGAAATTTGATGGAACTGTCAATGCTTAAAACCAGTTCATCTTGTCATACAGACCCATCAATTGCATAATGGTAGGTAGTATACAGTACACATTGTCTTCACCTATCCTGCGAGGAATATAAAAAATACTTTCTCTATGGAATTCTCCTCTAAAATTTCCACTTTAAAAAAGTCCTTTCAAGCAGTAATTTCAATTGTCATCTGAGACTCCCAGGGGCCTCAAAGACACCAGTTTCACAGTGGAAAGACAAAACACTTTCCTTAGCAAACCCTTTTCACAAAGGAAGTGCCTTGTTCCACACATGGGTTGGGTAAAGCAGTGCCCATCACTGGGACACCCATGGGAGGAGACAGCCTCTCTGCACTCACCCTATCCCTTCCCTAAACGTAACTGCATTTCACCTATCGTGTGGTAATCAGTGTGCTTTATAAACTTCCTGTTTTGGAAGAATTTTAGACTTACAGAACAGTTGCAAAGATAAGTCAAAGAATTCCCATATACCTTCCACCCTGCTCATACATCTTATATCGCTATATGTGTCAAAAGGAGGAAACTAACATTGGCACAATTCTATTAGCCAAACTACGGACCTCATTGAGATTCCACTGGCTTTACACTGACGTTCTTTTTCAGTTCCAGGATACAGTCCATTAAATTTAGGTAATCCATTTTAAAAGAAAGTGTTTTTTTGTTAAAATCAGATGAACAGATCCTTTATATGATATTTAAATTATTCCCAAGTATAATCTATCTGTCCTGTCCTCATTTGGGCATTGTTGGTTTTGTGTTGTTGTTTTTTTTAAAAACAAACAAACAGAGGGCCGAAACCGGTTTGGCTCAGTGGATAGAGCATCGGCCTGCGGACTGAAAGGTCCCGGGTTCGATTCTGGTCAAGGGCATGTACCTGGGTTGCAGGCACATCCCCAGTAGGAGATGTGCAGGAGGCAGCTGATTGATGTTTCTCTCTCATCGATGTTTCTAACTCTCTATCTCTCTCCCTTACTCTCTGTAAAAAATCAATAAAATATATTTTAAAAAAAACAAACAGAGGAAGGGAGAGGGAGAGAGGGATAGAAACATCAATGATGAGAATCATTGATGGGCTGCCTCCTACATGCCCCCTTCTGGGGATCGAGTTTACAACCCAGGCATGTACCCTGACTGGGAATTGAACCTGGAACCTCTTGGTTCCTGGGTTGACCGCTGAGTCACACCTGGCTGGGCAGGGCATTCTTTTTTTTTTTTTTAATATATATTTTATTGATTTTTTACAGAGAGGAAGGGAGAGGGATAGAGAGTCAGAAACATCAATGAGAGAGAAACATCGATCAGCTGCCTCCAGCACACCCGCCACTGGGGATGTGCCCGCAACCAAGGTACATGCCCTTGACTGGAATTGAACCTGGGACCCTTCAGCCCGCAGACCAATGCTCTATCCACTGAGCCAAACCGGTTAGGACAGGGCATTCTTAATTTAGGTTACTAGTGCATTTCACTCGTGGCCTGTATGTACCCCTTTTACTGATACATGCCTATTCCCTTTCACCCCTTGTACTTCTGAGTATGTAATTCCTTTATAGTACATCCCCCACATCCAAGTTTATTCCAATTCAATCATTTAAATATAAATATATGTTAACTTCCTTAGAGCATTACATTAGGTTTACATTAGCTTTACATTCCTTAGGTTCACATCCAACTACTAGTCATGTGTTTCAAAACCTCGCTGGATTTTTTCCTTATGTAACATTTTTATTCTATAATAATAAAAGGGTAATATGCTAATTAGACCAGACATCCTTCTGGACGTCATTCCGGATGTCCTTCCTGACGAAGCTGAGGCCGGAGGGAAGCCAGCCCGGGTCCCGGCAGCCGGGGGAAGGAAGGTCTACTCTTGCATGAATTTTTGTGCATCAGGCCTCTAGTTTGTTATAATCACGTGAAACTCATTTACTTATTGTTTCAAGCAATATTTTTCAGGGGTCTCCTGCTTTCCAGACACTGTGCTAGACAAAATGCTCAGCACAGAATAAAATAAAATAGACACTGTTGCTCTCTGGTGAGGGAATCAGCCAATAGACAAGAAAATAAAAGTAGCTTCTGATTGTGGCAAATGTCACAAATGGGGGAAAAAACATTTCCAAGGAGAGAGAATAACAAAGAGCCTAATTTAGACTTTGTGGTAGGTCAGGAGTCTGAGACCTGGAGAATGCAAAGGTGCAAGGATGCCAAGGTATGAGGGACATTTCTTACATAAGAAAGAAAGAAATCAATGTTTACTAATGTTTAATATAAAGATCGACACTGGTGCCCTTACTCTCAAGTCAAACAGGCATTCAGAGAGAAGAGAGGAACTTCCACAACTTGGAAGTATGAATGGTGACTTTAAAATAGTTTATATTTACCTTTTAAAATTTCTACTTTAGAATGCTTTAAAATATATGTACAAATTGTCTAATAGAACATGCTTCCAATTTATGTATCTAAAATCTATCTATACACACACACACACACACACACACACACAGGGAAAGAGCTTTGCTTAAAATCTTTTATTATTGCGTAGACTATCAAAACCCTTTGGAAGTTTGCCTTAGAGTGTGAACACACACTTCACTCAACATTGGCCCTTTCGTATCTCACTGCAAACATAGACCAGCACTTTCCAAACCTGGCTGCGTGCCAAAATGACCTGGGAATTGGATTACAATCAGATTGCTGGGCTTTCTCTCCAGGAGAGTCTCAACTCAGCCTGGGAGGAGCCCTGAAAGCTGTAATCCCAAAGGACTCTTTGTATCATTCAAGGCAACGGCAGGTTTGGGAACCTGGTAAAGATGACACAGGAATGTGTTTATGTGTTTTCTGAGCACAGATACCTGCATATTGAAATGCACATGTATTTGGGTCACTTGTATAGTTTTCTTTCTCTTCATATCCAAACATGCTCTTTAAAGACAAGGCAGCAAGTCTTCCTCACTCGCAGTAAACATTCTGCTTGCTGGACCATGGCTCAGACTGCATGCCCTAAATAAATGACATTTGCTGACTGAGAAGATCAATAAAAAAGAAGGCTAACCTGGTTAGCCTGGTCTTAAACGCAGGAAGGAGACACCATAAATGATAAATGAACAGTAATATAAAACATCAAACACCAAATATTTACAGAGTAATTAAGTATTTCTGACCTGGAACCAGAATGGTAATGGCTGTCTGCACTGCCTTCCGGATGATACTGTCCAGGGCAAACATCCAGTGTGGCTTGATGTTATGGTTCCGAAGAACTTTATTCACCTGGAGAAAGAGAGTGACACTTTGATTAACTTTTAATTGCAAATAACCTAGCTGATGCAAGCATTTGAATTTATCAACAAAATAACAACAAGGACTCTTCACCTTGAGTTGTGAATAATTTATGTCACGTGAAAAACTGCCACTTCCATTTAAAGTTCAGTGAACCCCATGTAAGCAAATGAGATACATTATTTAAATGAAAGGCAGTCTGGTTAAACGAGAAGGGTGCTCTGTGAGAACAGAGAACGTGCAGTTTCCACCTTTCATGACGTCTGCAGATGGATGTTGGAGGAGATTAGGGGGAAAAAGAGTCTGAAGGGCTTTTTAAAAATGAGCACTTTTCTTAAATGTTACGATCCTGCTGTTTAATCCAACCAAGTGCTTCGCCATGCTCTGGTGCCCTGAAAAAGCAGGTGAAGGGGAGAAGTGAGCGTGTATGAGCTACCTGCATATTTGCCACAGTGTGTGCCTTGGTTTCCTTCCCACAGTTCTTTACATCTCTGCAAATGGGAATAATCTGTTACAACACTCCAGAAAAGCTGTTCACATTAAAGCTCTCTGTTGTGAGGGCACCTTTTTAAACTGAGTAAGTAATATTTCACACATTTCTTTATTTTTTTTAAATATATTTTTATTGATTTCAGAGAGGAAGGGAGCAGGAGAGAGAGATAGAAACATCAATGACGAGAGAGAATCATTGATTGGCTGCCTCCTGCACGCCTCCTACTGGGAATCAAGCCTGCTACTCAAGCACATGGCCTGAGCAAGAATCGAACCTTGACCTCCTGGTTCATAGGTCGATGCTCAACCACCGAGCCACGCCGGCTGGGCTCACACATTTAAAGAGACACTGAAATGGATATACACATTACCTTTCTTTTAAAAAATTATGTAAGATAAACATAACATAAAATTTACCATCTTAACTATTTCTAAGTGTTTGGTTCAATGGCATTAAGGATACTGACACGGTTGTGTTACCATCACTACTGTTCATCTCCAGAACTCTTTTCATCTTGCAAAATGGAAACTCTGTACCTATTAATGATGACTCCACATTGCCCTCTCCCCACAGCCCCTGGCAGCCGCCACTGTACTTCCTGTCTCCATGAATATGACTACTCTAGGTAACTCATGTAAGTGGAATCACACAGTATTTTTGTGACTGGCTTATTTCACTTAGTATAATATGTGAGAACTTCCTTTTTAAGGGTAAATAAACAATATTCCACTGTATGCTTAAACCATATGCATTACCTTTTTAAAATAACCTTTATCGCTTATTTAAAATGTGGATTAACTCTACTAATTATTGGTTGACACTGGCCTCTAAGAAAAGAGGCTACTTTTCTAACAAGTCTCTGACTAGAGATCTTAGAGGCAGCTGGGGAGGTGACCTCGCTGCAATCCTGCACTTTATAAAAGCTGGAGTTCCAGTTGCTTATTCTTTCCCTTGCTCCATCTTCATCAAAATCTCTCAGTTAGAGGGGAGTGGGTCGGAGGAGTTCCTCACAGTAGTTACTCCCAAGAAAATGAGTCAGGGCTTGGTTCTCACTTGCTCTAGCAAATCCTATCAAAATGAGTCTGTCCCACCACCTTCATTTCTTAAAGGAGTTTCCTGCTTTTTTGATTTAGCATTGGGCACAACACCTGGTAAACTAGAATATTTCTCCCAAGAGTCACACACAGAAGATGGAAGAGAGAGCCCCTATGACCATGACTTGCTCCTCCTAGTTTTTCATTAAACAGTACATTACACAGGGCCCATTCTCCAGGTTATTCCCATTCTGGACAATGAGTGAACAGGGTGGTGTGTGTGTGTGTGTGTGTGTGTGTGTGTGTGTGTGTGTGTGTGAGATAACTAAAGCACTTTCAATCTGAATTCTACAAGCCAATTTGCTTTTCATCCTCCAGGCTGAAAGCCACATGTGTGGGCAAGTGCAAATTCACTGAATTATTTTATTCTATTCCCAGATGGTTGGGTTTCCCTACTTGCAGTGTAAGTGTGCCTTTAACACTGAATGTTAATGTTAGGCTTTGCCAATTGCTTTCATGACCTCAACCATGTCAGGAGCCTTGTCCCCACCCACAATATAGCCCAAAGATGAGTGGTTTACACAGTCTCAGAGAACATCAGTGGATGCTGAAGGATTATAATGTGGTTTTAAATCAGGAATCATTTGATGCTCCAATTATAATTGTCAAGATAATCTATAATAAGAAAAGCATAATATGCTAATTAGACTGGACATCCTTCTGGACAACCTTCCAGACGAAGCTGGGGCTATGAGGGAAGCCTGGGTCCCGGGTGCCAGAGGAAAGCCAGTGCCAGCAGCCGGGGGAAGGAAGGCCTACTCTTGCATGAATTTTGTGCATTGGGCCTTTAGTTTCTACATAAGAGCAATAAATACATTAGGGGTGAATTAATTTTTTGAACTTAAATAAAATTATGCAAAGTGCTTCTATATTCATACCACAGACAGTGTCAAGAACTCTCTTATTTAAATCTGTACCCTGTAAGGGCCTTCTAGGAATAGCTTCAGGCTTTTTTGGTACAGAGCTCCACAGATAAGTCTCATTCAAGAATAGCATATGGTTTTGAATCAGGCTTTTGGAAGATGGACTAGCTTGTGTTGCATAGCAACTGTTTGAGAGAGAGGAACCCTCAGCCATGTCTCATTAGATCATGTGCATTAATTTCCTTCAGTGATGCTCTGGGCTCTGAAGTATATTGCTGGCTAGAAAATAGTGAATATTTATTAAACAAACATGTTTACTAGTAACTGAGTTGGGGTGGGGTGGGGGATTATTGGTTTTATTCAGTAGTGGTCATTCCAATCTGTACGGTCATTTTCTCAATGTCCACTAGATGGCACCTCTCATACAGAATGAGAGCATGCATGACTCAAGTGTGTTCTGTTGCTCAAGTCACCAAAACAGTGACCCACTAAATGATTTCATAAGAACAAAGTTCAGCCATGGAGATGTTTATGAGTTTTGCTATTTTACATGGTGTACACTTTTATGTATATTTAACTCTGGGGGATGCAAACATAGAAAACACAAATCTCACACAGCACGCAAAAAGGCAACCATCTCACACTCATCCAAAGAGAAGAGAATTCATTGAAATCATTAAAGAAAGAAAGGCAAGAGAACTTAAGTTTCATCCTATTTTCCTGACTAATTTTAGCCAGAGTCTGTGGAAAAACACTGGCAAAATTTCATACTTACAGCATCTTGGAAGCTGAAGAGCACCACCTGGACCTGACTGATGCCATGGCTGTCGAAGTCCAGCTCTAACTTCAGCTTTGACAGGGTGGTGGCTATGATTTTTCGGTCGGTGGACCTCACAAATTCTCTGAGGCTTGTGATGAGGGTTGTGATGTGCTCCCACTTTAGTTTAGGTTCTTCAGGCCCCTGTGAATAAAAGCCAGTTAACTTGTCAGTCGGTCAGTGGACTTAGGAACGTGGGCCTGCCATGCTCACAGCCCCTGCTGGGAAGGGCTGGACTGCCAAATAGTCCGTCTAAGGAAAAAAGACCATATTTGAACAATATGGCTCCTTCCCCTCCTCCTGTCCTTTCCAAGAAATAATCAGGCTTTGGGAAGAAGGGTACCTACCCCATACGTTAGCCAATAGCCGTGATACAGTCAGATACACAAAGCTTTGCCCAAACAGGGACAGGCAGAGGCAGTAAGACTCTTACTCTCAGAAATTTTAATCAGGAACTAAGGAGAGATTCAAGCAATAAGCCATAGGACCCTAAGCTCAAAGTCTGTCCAGAGAGAGAAGTCATAAAACAGGGGCATGAGTACATCTAGTCATAAGGCAGGAAGCCGGAGCAATGGATAGGGAGAGAAGTGGACAGAAACAGAAATGACACACCAAAAGGGCCCATAGCCACCGAGCCAGGAAGAGATGTACAAACTCCTGGAACTTGAAGTCCTTGGACTCACACTCTAGGCTTGGCTGGGCACTCTGGTTGGACTCCTTCAGAGTCCCTTTCTCTCATTGCTATGTGTCTATCTATATGTCCCCAGTACTTCAACTGCCCTTGAACCATGTCAGTTCCTTGCAACTGAAAGGGGCTGGCTTCAAACTCTGTCCTTGAAACAATTCCTACCCATCAACAAAGCAATTACTCATAAGAATTGACCAACGGAACATTTTATATGTTAAAAATAAAATACAATTTAAAAAATTCCCTCTCTCAAGCTGAATTTCTTTTTATTTGCTCAAGCAACATTGCTTCCTTAAAGGTAACATAGTAGGATGTTATTTATTCTCTTTTTAACTTTAAGAAACAACAGGATTGCCCTGGCCGATATGGCTCAGTGGATGGAGTTTCAGCCTATGGACTGAAGGGTCCTGGGTTTGATTCCAGTCAGGGGCACATGCCTGGGTTGTGGGCTTGATCCCCAGTGGGGGATGTGCAGGAGGCAGCCAATCAATGATTCTCTCTCATCATTGATGTTTCTCTCTCTCTCCCCCTGTCCCTTCCTCTCTAAAATCAATAAAAACGTTTTTTTTTTTTTAATAAACAGGATTTTTATAATGCTCATGTCTATCTCACATTATACATTTTGTTACTAAATCATTAAAATTAAATGCCTCAACTGGATTGTGAAAAATCACAATATCTAGGGTTCTACGAAAATGGAAGCTCTTCCTCTCAATACATTCTCATCTGGAAGCTCTCTCTCATATTGATGTTTGCATGAAAAAAGATTATATTGAAAATCCTGAAGGCTGTCATTAAGGTAATATTTTAAAATGAGACTGGGAACAATTATAAACTGTTTATTTTCTTACCACGAACTAAATTACACCCAAAGTAAACATTCACAGGAAATATCATAATAACATGAAAACATGTTCAAGAAGAAAAATGTGACTTATTCAGGAATTGGAAGCTTAGCCTAGTGAAAAATCAGTTAATGTTTGGCACCAGTTTAAATAGCAAACATTTTTTTGACATTAGCATTGTTTTCACAACAGGAAAACATGTTGCTTCTGGGTTTTGGATGTGAGTGCCACTGTCCTACAAAGGAACGCTGTCTACTTCAGGAAATGTAGTCTCTCTAGCGTGTTTCAGCCACTTACACAATCGTTGTTTCTGTTTTAACTCCTGTCTCTGTGTGCAGTCACTACTGTGCCTTCACGAATGAGCATCTTAGTTATCGGGTAACACCTGATTCATCATCAGAAGGTAGCATCTGACAGGGTGCCTTTTCCTAAGCATTCCTGGTATCATCACAGAATCTTTTGCAAAGGTGCTCTCTATTCTTTATCCTTTAAACTTCCTTAAAAACGATGAGTGGATTTCAGAAGATGCTACAGGTTGAAGGGCCTTTCGTGGGCTGATTTGAGGACCTGACCGCCATCTACATTTCAGTCTTGTTATAAAGGGTAGGCTTAAATGTAAAGATGTACCTAGAAATATGTAATACAATGGAAAGAATTGTTTCTATCTGGTTGTAGAAAAACATTGAAAGATATTAAATATTGTTATTAGCCTGTTTGATGATCACAATAATAATAGCTAACATCTGTGGAACATTTTCTATGATCTCAATTGCTCATGATCTTAGTTATTCTTTTTTGTTGTTGTTGTTAATACATTTTTATTGATTTCAGAGAGGAAAGGAGAGGGAGAGAGAGATAGAAACATCAACGATGAGAGAGAATCAGCTGCCTCCTGCACCCCAGGCATATGCCCCTGACCAAAATCGAACCCATGACCCTTCAGTCCACAGGCCGACGCTCTATCCACTGAGCAAAACCGGCCAGGGCTTAGTTATTCTTTATAGCATTTCCTCTTTTATAGGTGAGGAAATTCAGCCTCAGAGAAGTTAAATAACTTGCCTAAATCACACAGCCTTTATTTATTTTATTTTATTTTTTAAATATATTTTATTGATTTTTTTACAGAGAATGGAGAGGGATAGAGAGCTAGAAACATCGATGAGAGAGAAACATCGATCAGCTGCCTCCTGCACACTCCCCACTGGGGATATGCCCGCAACCAAGGCACATGCCCTTGACCGGAATCGAACCCGGGACCCTCAGTCCGACACAGCCTTTAAATGGTGGAACTAAGTCTGAGGTAAGCTGTGGCTGAGCCCAAGCTCTCGATCGTTACGTTCTCCTGCCCAATTAGCTGGGTCAGGACCTGCTCTGCCACGAGACCATCAGCTGGAATCACAGGAAAGGATTCACAGTCGCCTCAGCAGTACAGTCAGCAGGACCCTCATATTACTTGATTCTGGATTTAGCATGTGATTCTGACCAGCAGTTTCTGGTCCTCGCTGGTCCCTCCTATTGGTGCACCAAGGCATGCCCTCTGATGGCTTCTTTTAATAAGGTTTACTTTCATGTGTCCTTTTATAGAGAACATTCAAGTGGGCTTGAAACTAGGAAATCACAAAGCATTGGAGAGGATTCACCAACATAAAAATTTAAGAATTTCAGCAAAGTCATGGAAGTGGAGTTTCTTGCTAGGCTCTGTGCTGAGAGGTGGGACAATGACAGTGATCAAGGTTGTCTCTGCCCCGATGGACCCATGATCCAGTGGAGAGACAAAGAAAAACACCAAAAAACCAGACATTTTCTGTGCTGGAACAGCACACCCTTTGGGGATGAACATGAGATTTAAACAATCCCTGAGTCCTGTGTTTCTGGCCTAAAACAGGTATCTTCACTAATGGCCACAGGAGAACCTTCACTCCACAATGATTTTCCTGTCCCCTCACCCCAAATGCCACCCCCTCCCCTGCTTTATGCTTCTTCCATCACTTGTCACCATCTGTCATCCCAGGAAGGAGAGCAGTGTGGTGGTTGAGAGCACAGACCTGGGAGCCAGACTGCCTGGCTCTGTCACTTAGGCCTGCATGGCCTAGGCAAGTGTACTCACCTCCTCTGTGCAAAGTGAGGATGCTAACAGAACTATTTATATAGCACTATTCTCATGGGGATTAAATGAGCAAATACCTATGAAATACCAAGAACGATAGCTGGCTCATAGAAATTGCTTGCTATTATTATGTTTAAAATTTCTTATATTTACAATATTTATTATTATTACACATTATAACTATATATTTAATTACATATGCTACTATACAGGGTGAGGCAAAAGTAGGTTTACAGTTGTGAGTATTCAAAACAGTTTATTCTTGTATTATTTATTAATTAACTGTAAACCTACTTTTGCCCACCCAATATATTTAAATACATATTTACTCTTTTTTAATTTATCCTTACTTGAGGATATGTTTTTATTGGTATCGAGAGAGAGAGAGAGAGAGAGAGAGAGAGAGAGAGAGAGAGAGAAAGAAAGGGAGAGAGAGAGAGAAGGGAAGTAAGAGCACTTGTGGGCACCTGGCTCCACATACACCCCAATCCAAACTGAGAAAAATGTAAATTGTTAGACTGAGAAACTAAACACATGACCAACTCTTCCTCCTCCATGCTTTTTGCAGCTGTTTTCCCAGGACAGACGGGAGGGAAGAAGGTATATGCAGTCCACACAGATGGGGCAGGACAGGTTGTAGCCAAAGGAGACAGCAGGCCTGGGGTTCCTACTCGTATCTGTAAGCAGAATCCCAGGGAACAAAGTGCCAGGTGTCATGGACTGAACTGTGTCCTTCCCTGCCCAAATTCTTATGCTGAAGCCCTAGACTTTGTGTTTGGAGATAGGGTTTAGGAAGTAATTAAGGTTAAATGAGATCGCAAGGGTGGGACCCTACCCCAATTGGACTCATGTTTTTATAAGGAGAGGAAGCCACACCAGGAGTGCACAGAGAAAAGGCCAATGAGGACACAGCGAGAAGGCGCCACCTGCAGGCCAAGGAGAGCGGCCTCGGGAGAAACCAAACCTGGCGACACCTTGCTCTGAGACTTCCAGCCTCCAGAACCGTGAGAAGTAAGTTCCTGGCGTTTAAGCTGCGCAGTCTATGGTATCTGTTATGGCAACCCCAGCGAACAAATACATGAGGGAACCAGAGTTGGACTGGCCAGATTTGTTTTTTCATAGCACAATGGCCCCTCGCCCACTATGTAATTTACTGGTTATTGCCCATCGTCTGCCAGCTAAACGCAGCCCCTCCACCTCTGCTGCATCTGCAGTGTTTCCTACATGCTCAGAGGAGTGACTGAGAGGCAGCTGTGAGCTACAGTCAGAATGAGCAATTCACGTTGCTCAATGTGTGTGTATTGATTGGTTGAATATATGAATAAATGAAGGGTAAAAGAGGCTGGTACGGACTAGTGGGAACTTCACCAACAGGAAAACTTTTCATTTGACTTTGAGTAAGAGAGATAGAAACATCAATGGCGAGAGAGAATAATTGATTAGCTGCCTCCTACATGCCCCCTACTAAGGATCAAGACCACAACCTGGACATGTGCCCTGACCAGGAATCGAACTGTGACCTCCTGGTTCATAGGTCGACGCTCAACCACTGAGCCACACCAGTCGGCCCACTGGTTTTGACAGTTAAAATATGTAAACTCTGAAAACATGAAGCATCCATGAAAGGTTTTACCTGAGCCAAAGATTCCATTAAGTTTCTCACAACTTTGTCTTGGTCTTCCTTCAGGATCCGGTAAAGGGTGGCCCGCCTCTCGCTGTCCTTCCGCAACATAAAGAACCCGGAGTCCTTTTCCTCAGGAGAAGGGGGAGCACTGTGATCTTCAAAATTCTCATCTGGAATGCTGCAATAATTCACACAGCACAAATCACACTTTCCTTTATAAGGTGATACACCACACGCTTCCTTCCCCCAAAGTAAGTCAGGTCTTTACCCCAAAAAGAGGGTCCGCATTCCTTTCACATCCTTTTCTCCGCAGGATTTGGCTCTTGTTTTGAAAGAGAAGGGGTCCACCTTGAGTTCAGTGTCAGGAGAAACTGAGCCGTATTCACTGCTGCTGCTCGTGTCCTCCACCAGGACAGGGACTGGCAAGGATATGCTCCTAAGGTATTCTGCTTGTAAGAGGGAAAGAGAATTAACGCTGGGAAAATGTACGCATACTGCAATGCCTACTGAACGAGAGCAGTCTTAGCTGTGAAGTGTCTCATTCCAACCTAAGAGTCTGGTCATGATATTCGGATTGCTCCCAGGCTCCATATATGACCCCCGCAGGAGGGGTTGGTGAGGAAGGGGCCTCGTGGGCCCTGTCAGGAAGATCTCAGGAGCATGAAACTGTGGAGGAAGCATCAGACCCAGCACGCCTTGGGTTCCAATCCCTCTGTCTTTACTGTCCACTTGTCAGATTTCAGGAAGGTCATTTTTAGGTCTGTTTATTCTATAGAGTAAAGGAAAAGATCCCTACGTTTTAAAACATGTTCCTCAGAGGTGTAAGGGTCCACCTTAGCACCTTGGGGCTGCCTTGGATGGGGTGAGTAAGTAGGATTCTGTGATTCTAGAACACAGGTTCCAACCCTGTTTTACCTAAAACAAATATGCTCTGTGAGCCTTATACATCAGGGCTCTGCCTGAGGATTCACGTAAAAAAGGGTTCACTGCTAAACACAAATTTCAGAAACCAATGGACTAGACCAGTGGTCGGCAAACTCATTAGTCAACAGAGCCAAATATCAACAGTACAACGATTGAAATTTCTTTTGAGAGCCGATTTTTTTAAACTTAAACTATATAGGTAGGTACATTGTTATTCACTTAATTAGGGTACTCCTAAGGCTTAGGAAGAGCCACACTCAAGGGGCCAAAGAGCCGTGTGTGGCTCGCGAGCCGCAGTTTGCTGACCACGGGACTAGATGATCTCTTTCCCAGTTCTCAGATACTATGATTCTATGGCCAACTTGCTCCAAGCTAAGAAAGTGTGGACTCCACTCAAATTGAAGATTTCAAAAATATAAACACCCTCATGCATTTAGGGAGGAACAACTGAAGCTTCCCTCATGAAAGAGAAAGGTGAGGGGTTTTGACAGAATGAGCCCCACCGGGCTTGCAGCTGCACACATCCCTAGTACCAGCAGCCGCCCCTGAAAGCAGGGAGAGGAGGAGGAGTCTATTTGAGGAGCTGATCACATGACCCACCCAGCTTCAGCTCAATGGAAAATATAACAATAAACTCACCATTTGATCCAGGTGAAAGAGCTGTGGGAAGAAAAGCAAAGAATAACATAAACACACATTGGGGTTGTTGTTAAACTGAGGAGCCAACAAAAAGTGAGGACTTGATGTGGGAAGCAATGCCCTTTCCAAGCTTTCAAGCTACCCACCCTCATCCCATAGAAACACCAAAACACCAACAACGAATAGATCATTTACTTGTTTTTTTCTCTCAGAAATGAGTTATGGAAATCCTTGCAAAAATGCAATTAACATTTTTACACTGCTGTTTTACTTATAACTGGCAATGCTTCTTTTTTTGGGGGGAGAGGAGTTAATTACTCAGAACGATATTCTCTAAGAAGCAATAAGTATTTTCTACTGCCTAAAATGAAAATAACATATTATCTAGAAAGATTGAAAATTCAACAGCTCAGCTCTATAACAGCCCTGTAACCCATTAGTTGTAATTTGGAGTTTCAGCTCTAAAAGGCTGTATTTCACCTTTTTTCCACTGTAACCTTTGGATCAGCAATGCTAGAATGCTGTAGATACTGACACAGTAAAAATACCTACTAACCGAATGATGAAACACTATTATGCATGAGGTCCTGGCGTTTGTGAGGGTGATGGTAACACAGCTTCCCGATACTGAAACTTGATGCCTGAGAACACTGCCAGTGTTTACAGCAAATTCCAGTGACATCTACAGACAGATTAGCTTGTTTCTGGAAAAATCGTCCATCTTAAAAGCTTAGGGTTTAGGGACTCTGAACTGTATCTCCTTCAATGCAACCACATACCTGAAAGCTTAGGCTGTGTCTTTTTCTTTTTGCTTGAAACTTTTAAGAACTCATCAATAAGCAAGTCATTAGCACAGGCTCTCTTGTCAGGGTCTGGTTCAAAACACTTCAATATGAATGCCTTGGCCTCCGCTGACATGGACTCCGGGATCTCCGGGTGGACTTTAAACATTCCCACCTAAGAAACAGCACAATGGGGCTTCTGAGTGACATCTCATCCCATGAGCTCCCGGCATCATAACTTGGTCTCCTACTGTAACAAAATCCTTTATCATATGCTACGAACTCATGGATTTTCTCAAAGGGAGGTAGGATACTTTTTCTGTAGGCTATAGAAAATTTCCAGAGTGCTTTTGCAACTTTATTAATGACATAGGCAGAGTGATTAGCGTAAGACACTAAAGAGCATTATAAAGTAGCAATTCAGTCCTCAAGGCTTGAGGACACATTCGCACACCAGCAAGAAGAAAGGATGTTTTTAATTGGATCCTTGTGCTTGTCATGATAGTGATGTGCCAGGCACTGTGCTTGGCTTTTTCCATTTTCATTCAATGAATCTCATGAATCCTCCCAACAACTCAATGGATTGAATATTATTATATTTGTTGCACCAATGAGGAAAATGAGGCTCAGAGGGATCAGGTTATATCGTTATAAAAAGGCAAATCTGGGATTTGAACCTTTAATGCTTAAATTTGTGTTCTTTCCTCTACTCCATAATTTATGAATATTTCCCCCGTCTCAAACTGCCTACATTAAAAGATATTTAAAAACACTTTAAATAAAATAGAATTTTTATAGCAATTCAACTTTCTTTTCATTGCTGCCATTCTAAAAAATGTTTTTTAATGTTTTCATGTATTTAGTAGAGAAAATTTTCTAAGGAAATCTTTTATGTTATATAGTTTATATAAGTGTATTATTACATAGGTAATATGTAATTGTTTGTAATATTTATATAGCCTTTACTATTCTAAGTGCTTTGCACATATTATCTCATATACTCCTCAAAAAACCTCTACTAGATAGGTACTAAATTTATTCCCGATTTAGAGATGCGGAAACTGAGGTACAAGAAGGTTAAGTAATTTTCTCAAAGTCATCAACTAGCTTGACTGTGTTGGAGCCTGGATTTAAACATTGTAAATCAGTGTCAGAGTCTACCTATCTCGTCTAAAGCACATTGTATTATGATCCCTGCACGGATGGTAACAGCAGCATTTCAGAGTGAAGTCCTAAACATTGGTAAAAACTTCAGAGATTGGCCAAGAAGAGAAAGACATTCATTCATGTCAAAAAAGGAAGCTCTCATCACTCTTCAGGCTTGGTTACACTACTCATTTCTGTATCAGCAGTATCCCATCACATCATCTTCAAGCTCAAAGTAAACCAAGCTTTGTACAGAAGCAAAGGTATGTAACACAGGGCCTCTCCTGAGAGGCTCTTCACCAATGGAAAAAGTGCTAGAGACATGGTCAGAGGCAGGGGGAAAAAATAAGCTATCAAAAGCCTTCTGCCTTAGAGAACAGAAGAATGTGAGCTTTACATCTCAGGAAACAAGTTCTCAGTTTATTTTATTTTTAATTTTTGTTTTTTAAAATATATTTTTATTGATTTCAGAGAAGAAGGAAGAAGGAGAGAGAGAGAAACATCAATGATGAGAGAGAATCACTGATCAACTGCCTGCTGCATACCCCCTACTGGGGATTGAGCCCAAAACCCAGGCATGTACCCTGACAGGGAATCGAACCCTGACCTCCTGGTTCATAGGTTGACACTCAACCACTGAGCCATGCCGGCCAGGCCAAGTTCTCAGTTTAAACTTCACTCTGGCGTGGTGGTGTAGCAGGTGAGAACTGCAGGGACTCAGCCACAGGTCACTGCTTTGCCCAGTCTCCAGATTTGGAAGCTGTAGCCTAGGGCTCTCTCAGCTCTATTTTGATATCAGATGCTCCCTATTTGGGCTGCTTCCCACTCCCAAAAGAGTTACTAATGGGCAAATTAAGAGACTAGAAGAGTAAGTATCCTATATAATAAAAGCATAATATGCAAATTGACCGAATGGCCAAAGAGCAAAATGACCATCCAGGACCACTTATGACACCCATTGGCGCCAGGCCAGCCAAGGTGGGTGCGATGCAATTAGTCAGGGGCCCGGCCATCGCCCCAAGATCGCCCCACAGAGGGAGGCCCAGGCCACTGGACAGCAGGCTGTGGTGGGTGGGTGGAGCCTCCCACTGTGAGGGAAGCCTGGGTCCTGGCAGCTGGAGGGAAGCCCAGGTCCCAGGTGCCAGAGGGAAAGAAGTCCTACCCTTGCACGAATTTCATGCATCAGGCCTCTAGTCTATAATAATAAAAGCATAATATGCTAATTAGACTGGACAGCCGAATGACCTTCCGGACGAAGCTGTGGCAGCAGGGCTGAGGCAAAGGCAGTTAGGGGTGATCAGGCAGGCAGGCAGAGTGGTTAGGAGCCATCAGTCCTGGATTGTGAGAGGGATGTCTGACTGCCTGTTTAGGCCTGATCCCGTGGGCCTAAACCGGCAGTCAGACATCCCCTGAGGGGTCCTGGATTGCGAGAGAGTGCAGGCTTGGCTGAGGGACCCCCCCCACTCCCATGCACAAATTTCATGCACCGGGCCTCTAGTATGAGAATAAGATGTGTACTTAAAATAGCAAAACCATGCCTTTTTTAAATGGAGATGTCAAACTCTTATAATAAAGTAAAGGAAAATATTTATTTGGTTTAAACTTAAATAGATAAAAAATGTTCTTATATCTACCTCCATGGAAGCTTTTTAACCTGTGTTTCCCAAAGAGCTTACACCATCTTCCATGGAGTGGTGTGTTCTTTACACTGCACTGTGAAAATGTGGTCAATGGAAGTTACACTGCGTGCCGCTTTATAGCTGAGAAAACTAAGGTGGGGAGAGCCTCTTATGAGGCACCGACTGAGGGGAGTGAATCATCTTGAACTATAATATGCTCTCAGACGGTGCTCACTTAGGCTCCTTGCCTTCTGGCTAAAAGCAGATGGCATGCACACACGGAACAGCCAGCAGTTTTACCCACTGGTTTTTAAGATATTTAAGATATACAAAATGTGACCTTGAACATTGCTGCTTGTGGTTCTCCCAGTTCATAAAAGGGCGGTTTCCCTGTGGCCATTTCGATGATGGTGCAACCCAAAGACCAAATGTCTGCTGCTTTCCCATAGCCTCTGGGTCCTTTGTCTATTATTTCTGGTGCCATGTACTGAAGGGTACCTGGGAAGAGCACAAACACAATCCTACTTCAAAAGAGAACATCTAATGACAGTTTCAATTCCTCTACGTAAATAAGACACTTTAACAGTATGATTCAGGTCTTCATACTGCATCCTTTTTGAATGCCAGTTTTTCTCTGCTGTGAATACAAGAGAAAATAGCAGTTTTTATAATGGATTTTATTAGTGAGGTGAAAATAGTTTACCAATATTACCTGGATATGAACAGATACGTTCTCATTTCTTAAATAGTATAATTAAGGCATTATTCCATTAGGACCTCTTAGAAACTTCTAACAACTGGTCATTTGAGAACAACAGAGAATACACCAACACACGTTTTCTAAAATCCGTTTTTGAAGCACGTGAAAACTCTCATTATGAATACTTCTAATCTTTTCCAAGAAAAGTCTAGGTCATTCATCAATTTCCTTAGATTTATATTTCTCAATTCCTGATTTGAATGCTTAGTTCTTCTGTTTTCATTCTTATTTCTAAATCATTCAAGCATGCAGATTCTAAAAGGTATTGTCAAAATAATGTAAATCTATAAATCAAATATTTACGACTTCTGCTATGTGCCTGTGGTCCATGGAATAATGGGTTTAACAGGTCAAAGACAGGCCATGAGCCATCAGTACAGACAAATCACCAGGTACAGAGTGAAGAATAAAATGAAAAAAAAAAGAGAGGATATTTTATATAAAGAATCAGAGAGTTGAAGAATGCAATATGATGGAAAGAGAATTAAGTGGGGAGCCAAGATCCCGTGTTTCTAGTTGTGGTCTGGTATATCTCTGATAAACACTCAACTGCAGTTGTATCATTGGCTCAAGTGAGAGGCTGGATTTGTGTTTCTAACGCCTGCTGCAGTGATTCCCCGAAGTCGAGCAATGAGGACAGAGTGGGAAGAGAAACAGATTATTGCCACATCCCCTGCTTCTGATATATTCATACAAATGGTATAATCAGCAAATAGGAACTCCTCCACGATGCCATCTTGAATTATTTCAAATCTTGAGGCATTTGCCAAAAGTGCTACTTCAATCTTTTCTGATTCATAACCAATGATAGACATTTTGATAAATAGAGACACCACCTTTTACAAATGCCTTGTGCATGATTTGTAGGTGAAAACTGCTATGCAAAATTCCTCTAAGTTGTTCCTATGAAAGCTACTGTCATGAGCTAGAAGCTGGCTGTTGTCATAAAAATAAATAAAGTCTATTAATTTTGTCAATTAATTTAGTATTGTTATCTTGGCAGGTTTATCCTCCAGACCTCATCATTACGTAGCAGTAGCTCAAGTTCATGTTCACATACACCTGCACATGTCTGCTCTCAGCTTAAATCAGCAAAATTCCTGGACGGAAGCATTTCACCTGGCCAAGGATCAGGCCACCACACTCCTCAAGTCACCTATGCTTGGGAGAAAAGTACTGTGTTTATCTTCGTTTATAGCTGCCCCCAAAGTGATCATGTTTTATGATGTAAATTAAATCAAGTGGTCTTTAAAAAGTATGTGTTGAAGCCTACTGCTCCTTTCTGTTGTCTCTGGGTCTAAAATAGAATTACTGAGAGAATTTGAGTTGTTTTAATATCGGAGTAGGCATCATAACTGATCAATAATATATGAATTGAAAAGAATTGGACAATTCAAGTAATATCTTAATAATAAATTATGCAATGTTTTTATTCATCAGATATTTCAAAGAGCGCTACCTGCCAATTGTGTTTAATTATCCCTCATTGAGCAAGTGGCAATAAAAACAGGTTTGGTCATGTGTTCATATCTGTTCCCTTCACTCCACAAACACATGACACATAATATTTTATATAAAGAGATTTACAGAGCTGGGTAACGAAGCTGCAAGCCAGTCTGGGGAGCCACTACAGCTTAGTAGCTACAAGCTTCAATTTTGACATCACACTGTGTCCATTCATTCATATGTCCAGCAGTTCCATATTAAGGGCCTACCATGGGCTGGGCACTGTTCTAGGCATTTAAAATATAGCTGCAGAATAAAGAGACAGAAATCTCTGTGCTTGTGGAGCTGACGTTTTTGCAGTGGGAGACAGACAATAAACTACAGCATAATAAACAAGTAAGTTGTATAGTATATTAGAAAGTTATGTATCATGACAACCCCCCCCAAAAAAAACAAGAGTAAGAAAAGGGTAGCAGATGTGACCAGGGAGGGCTGCCATGCAAATAGGGAGGGGCTCACCGAGATGACATCTGAGGTAAGACCTGAAGGAGGAGAAGGACTCCGCCATGCAGATGGCTGGGAGAAGAGTGTTGAAGCAGCAGGAAAAGCTTGTGCAAAGGCCCTGCAGCATGATGAAGGAAAGGCAGGAAGACCTAAGTTTCTGGGACAGAGTGAGCAAGGGGGGAAGAGTAGGAAATGAGGTCTAAATGGTGACGAATTCCAAATTGTCCACCATTTAAGGACTTCGGCGTTTGTTTGCTGTGACAGAAGTAGCAAGCCACTGCGGTCTCTGAGTGATAGGGCTGAGGTTGAGAATGGACATAGGGGGCAAGAGAGGAGGCAGGGAGAAGAGGTTATTGAGGTAACGCAGGTGAGAAACGCGGGTGATAGCAGTGGAGGCAGTGAGGAACTGTTCCAATTTTGGACACACTTTGAAGGTAGAGCCAATAGGTTTCCCTGATGGATTGGGTGGGAGTGTGAGAAAAGAGAAGCGCCACGGATAATTCTAAGTTTGGAGTGGCCATTAACTGCAATGGGGAAAAGTGTGGGTGGAACAGGTCTGGGGAGAAGTTAATTCCATTCGGCATGTTACGTCTGGTTTGAAGCGTAGCTCTATGACTGGTTAGCTTTGTGACCTTGGGCAAGCTACTTAACCTCCTTGAACCTTCATTTTCTCACCCTAAACTGGGATAATGATACCTAAGGATTAGGGCTGATATATGAATTTCAGTGAAATAACATATATAAAGCACTTAGCACAGTTCGGTATACACTCTATAGATGGTGGTCGCTGCTGCCTTCCCTCTCATCACATGACCAGGCAGTGAAATGGACCGAGGTCTTTCAGCGCAGTTCATCAGAGGCTGACTAAGCGCCCGGGACGTGGCTAGTTCCAAGGCCTACGGCCGAGAATCCAGGTCCGCACACCCAGGCCCTCCTGACCAGCGCTGGAGACAGACTCAGCACATTAATCATACGTGTCTCCACGTGAGGCCACTGAGAGACGTACAAGCACAGGGCCCTGGATGACCACTTTACTAGAACTCCTTCGAGAACTAACAAAAAATGTTTTCAAGATTATCAGGAGATATTCAAGTAACATCTCGCCCAAATAAAGTGTCTGAAAGTAGGGATTTTCCTCTCAGAAGTTACTGAGTCTTGGAAGCATTTAAAATGTCTCTTGCCAAACTGATACAGAATGAGAAAAGAAACATAAAGACATCTGAAATTACTAATAAATTAGAACCTATTTTGAAAAAGAAAAGAAAATGCATTCTAAATGTGTTTAACTCTTTACCCTGAAATTCCCATTGCTGTTATAGTAGGAACTAGGCCAGAGGTGTTGCTGATAGGGTGTTCTGAGGAGAAAACATATGGAATTTCTCTCTTTTCCCCCTTCCAGGCTTCCAGAATAGATACTTCAGCAAGGTGGAGAGAAATACTGACTGACACAAGAAGGCCAAAGCAGAGAGCAAAGGGTAGATAAAAAAAAATCTGACCTTATCATTTATAAACTGTTGTGACTTTGATGTCCGTTTTCTCTCAATTTCCTAATCTGCAAAATGGAGGTACTACCACCTACCTCACAGAACTAAGAAATGGGGACATCTGGCCATTTTGCTTAATTCATTATCTTTTTTCCCTCCTAAATCTTTCTCTAATAATAATACTTCCTGAGAAATAGCAGAATGGAGTGCTAAGAGCTTGGAATGGAGAGCAGGGCTGAAGTTTCGGATGCCCTCCCGGTGACTGCTGGGCAGTCATGAATCTCTCTGAGCCTCGGTTTCCTCTTGGCCACTGTTGCCTTTTTAGAACCCCTGTGTCTCCTGCCTCCCAGGACTTTGCTCTAGAGGCAGCTCAGTGGTTGCATTGCCTAACCTCTGAGGAAAGCTCTCTCCCCACCCCACTTCTGAGTTGGTGAGTCACTTCCTCTTTCAGGATTGAAAGGGACTGAAATCCTGCAGTTATTTATGTTGTGAGCAGGGGAATGCATCACAGGGAGTAAACAGATTAGAAAAGAGGGAATTCATAGTCCACATGGGAAGTGATTAAGGTATGAGTAAGAATCACAGAGAGGTTAGGCTGAAAAATGTTTTTAAAAAATCTTGTCAGGATTATATTGATTGTAGGCCAGACAGGAGAGAAGTAATGATATGAAAAGAAAAACAAACAAATGAAGAGTTAAAAAAAAAATCTTCAGTAGCATCAAGCAAGGAGATTGAATAGGTCATATAAATTTAAGATGAGAAAAGGGTCAGATCAACTTCTGTATATCATTTTTCAGTAATCATCAAAAGATATCAACATTAATATTTGTGAGAACAACTAAATTTATCTCTTACATTATGTTCAAACGCAGCAATTATTTCTTTAATTACATAAGAGCTGTATCATCATTGCAAAAACATACCAGTAAAAGTTTCAGTGCTTGGGTTTATGCCAGCAAGCCTCTTTGATGTGCCGAAGTCAGAGATCTTGAGAACACCACTATAGGTATTAATCAACACATTGTCACCCTAGAAAAGAGAGGACTTTAATAAAAAACATTACATTTCTTCCAATCCTGTGTATTGTTGGCTCGCAAATCCAACAAGAAAAGGTGTCCTTAGAGCAAACAAGGACACTAATTCTGTATTCTTCATTAATAGTTAATCTCAACAAGAAATTCTTGACACCATTTTTGTTTATATGTTATCAGTTGTCCACAATTGCCACTTGGGTCACAAGGTCAAACATGGTTAGTTAGAGCTTGCTACAGTTTACAGATGGCAGGGGTTGCCTATGCATGGTACATGTATAACAAGTTCAATTATCTATATACTAGAGGCCCGGTGCACAAAAATTTGTGCACTCGGGGGGGAGAGGGGGTCCCTCAGCCCGGCCTGTGCCCTCTTGCAGTCTGGGACCCCTCGGGAGATAATGACCTGCTGGCTTAGGCCTGGTCCCAGGTGGCAGAGGGCAGGCCCAATCCCTAGGTGCAGTCCCTGGTTGGGCTCAGAGCAGGGCCGATTGAGGAGCTGGGGCGCCACCCCCTGTCATGCACAGAGCAGGGCGGATCGGGAGGTTGCGATGCCACCCCTAGTCACGCTCAGGGTAGGGCTGATTGGGGGGTTGGGGCACCGCTCCCTGTCACACTCAAGGAAGGGTCGATAGGGAGGTTGCGGCGCCACCCCCTGTCATGCACAGAGCAGGGCCCATCAGGGGGTTGGGGCGCCGCACCCTGTCACACACAGAGCCACAGGGCGATCAGGGAGTTGGGGAGCTCCCCCCTATCAGGCACAAAGCAGGGCTGATCAAGGGGTTGGGGCGCCTTCACCTGTCACACACAGAGCCGCAGGGCGATCAGGGGGTTTGGGCACTGCCTCCTGTCACGCTGATCCTGGTGCCGGGAGGCCTCGCGGCTCCGCTGATCCCGGTGCTGGGAGGCATATTACCCTTTTACTATATAGGATAGAGGCCTGGTGCATGGGTGGGGGCCTGCTGGTTTGCCCTGAAGGGTGTCCTGGATCAGGGTGGGGGTCCCGCTTGGGTGCCTGGACAGCCTGAATGAGAGGATGATGGCTGTTTGCAGCTGGTCACACCCCCTTCAGGTGCACGGGTGGGGGCCGGCTGATTTGCCCTGAAGAGTGTCCTGGATCAGGGTGGGGGTCCCGCTTGGGTGCCTGGCCAGTCTGGGTGAGGGGCTGAGGGCTGTTTTCAGGCTGGCAGGTGACTGAAGCTCCCAACTGCTCCTTTTTTTCTTTTTCTTTTTTTATTCTGGGCCAGCTTTAGCTCTGAGGCTTGGCTCCAGTTCTGAGGCCTCGGCTGCTGAAAGTAGGTATCTGGTTTGTTTGGGTTCTATAATTGAAACACTGTTTCAACTCCAGCTCTGAGATCCTGGCTGGCTGAAAGCAGGTTTCTGGGGTTTTGTTTAGCTTCTATATTTGTAACAATGTTTCAAACTGCAAGCTCAGAGGCCGGCAGCGGCAGGCGGGGAACGTTGGCTTCCTCTGTCACTGAAGCAAGCAAGCCTCCTGTTCGCTTCAAGCTGCCTGGCTGCCGGCTGCCATCTTGGCTGGCAGTTAATTTGCATATCGCCCTGATTAGCCAATGGGAAGGGTAGCGGAGGTATGGCTAATTACCATGTTTCTCTTTTATTAGATAGGATATAAAAGGCTAATATGCTAAGTGTCCCTCATCCCATACAACCAGTCGCTATGACATGCACTGACCACCAGGGGGCAGACGCTCAACGCAGGAGTTGCCATGACGCACACTGGCCATTTACAGAGAAATGACAGTGTGGACCTGGTGCCGACAAAGCAACACTTGGCTTCCTCCAAATGGGACACAGGCCCCACCACCACCCCGGAGTGACAGCCTACCAAATCGCAGCCAATGCTGCCAAGATGCAAAATGCAGCCCATAGCCCAGCCCAGCCCCAAAATGGTGGTTGTGGGCATCGAGTAATGACGTCATGTAGCAATGCCTGGCTTCCTCTCCCTAGCGACTAGTCTCCTTGCAGTTTCTTCATCCCAGAAACATGACTTGCTTTATAGCCAGGTGGAAACATTTCACACTGTAACCAAATGTCTGTGAAGTGTTTTCATGTGCCTCATCTCATTTGATCCTCACAGAAGTCCTGCAGTTAGGTAGATAGGAGACTCGGTGGAATCCTATTTTCTTTTCGTTAGCCGGAAAATGGAGATTTAGAAAGCTTAGAAACTTGACCAGACTGAAAAGAAGTAAAAAATGGTGGACCTTGAAAATGACTTCAGTTTTTCTCACTGCGCAAAATTGTTAAATATTTTACCCTTTGTTCTCCCTGCGTGATCTACAATAATAATCTGCTTCATGTTGATATTTACTGTTGTGTTGCTGACAATTACCTGAAAGAGAAGTTGGGGTGCTTCACTGGGCTGGAAAAAGTTTAGCTAAATCAGAAAGCAGTTCTAATTAAGCAAGTTTATTCTATATCCATAAAAGGCTAAGTTAACTTGTGTATGTGCAATACATATAAAGCTCTCGCTGGCGCCAAACGCCTGTCTTTCAGTCTGTCATTGTCAATCATGAATTTGGTTGAAACGTCTATTATAGAGAAAGGGTGAATAGCAATATTAAAATATTTCTTCTAATTAATTTCCTTTCAATGTGCACGAATCTGTGCACCGGGTTATTAGTGATAGTCATAATTCCCCAGTCACTTTACTTTCTTTTCTATGTTATTTTACTTATTTTTCTAGAAGAATAAGATATATCACAAATATATAGGCATTTGGGTTGTTTTACTTATTTTTCTAGAATAATAAGATACTAGTATATCACAAATAAATAGATATTTGGGTTGATTTTAGGGTAGTAATATTAATTTACTTTCCATAGTCCAGCCTTTGTCAGAAATTTAGTTCTGAATATTCTCTTTTTAAAGAGAATCTACTAAGTTATCTAATATTCGTTTAATCCATGAATATGTGATGGTTGTGAGAAGAGATTCTTTTTTCTTTTAATATATTTTATTGATTTTTACAGAGAGGGATAGAGTGTTAGAAACATCGATGAAAGAGAAACAACAATCAGCTACCTCCTGCACAACCCCTATTGGGGATCGAGCCCACAACCAAGGTGCATGCCCTTGACCGGAGTCAAACCGAGAACACTTCTCCAGTCCAAGGCCAATGCTCTATCTATTGAGCCAAACCAGTTAGGGCTCTTTTTTCCTTCTAATCATTTATTCATTGATTCAATAAATATTTACTGAGTAGATACTATGGGCAAGGATACAAAGATTAACCAGCCTCTAAATTCCCAGAAGCAGGGATCATCCTCCTGTTCAATTTTGTTCTGCTGTGCCAAAACTCACACAGAACAGTGCCAGGCACGTAGTGGAAGCTCAATCTTTGTTGGTTGAACGTGGATAAGGAGTTTATTCCTTACATAGATAAGATATGAATATCAATGATTGATTCAGGACAGAGCAATATCTTCTATTTCTATTCCTAAGATTTATTTATTCACCATTCTAAGTTAATACCCATAACATAACATGGCTTTTGCAAATAAAACAATTACCCAACAAGGAACATATGAAAATGAATCCTAGCTCATCCTACCTTTATATCCCGGTGAACTATCTGATTGTCATGGAGGTATTTTAATCCTTCGAGTATTTGCTTTGTATAAAATCCAATTGTCTGCTCATTGTCTTTCAATGGGCCCCATTTTGAACGAAGGAGAGCTGAAAGACTTCCTGTAAAGTAGGGAAAAATAGCGGATAAAATCTTAATCCAAATGAGTTCTTAAAGTACATTAATAAAGTAATACTAATTTAAGCTAACATTTATTGGTTATTTACAGTGGCCCAGGAACTGTACCGGATACAAGGGCTCAAATATGAATGGGCAAGTGTCCCTGCTCTGAAGATGCTCATTATAAAATAGTAAGTAGTAAAAAGCCACTCATTCACCAACCTTAATCCAAGTCGCAATGATTGATATTAAAATGATTTCAGATACTTACTGTTTTCTAATAAAATGGAAGGTAATGCAATGTGGCTAACTTTTCTTTTAACTTAGACCAATTAAGACCTATAAACCTACAAATCCCATTCAGTTTTACTCCTCTTCAAGGCCCTAGAAATTTGTAGTTTTTAAAGGAAAAAAACATCTCTTACCTCCTGGAACCTGCTCCATGAAGATTTTAATGAAACCATTCTCGCTGAAAGAACCCAGATACTGGACAATATTCTTGTGCTTCAGATGCTTATGCGATGCTATTTCTTCATGGAGGGGCTGGGAGTATCTAAAAGACATGCAAATGTCAATGAGCTAATTGTGTTAGCCAGACTTTAGCATATAAGTTTACAAAATGTAAAATGAAACTGTCAGCTATTATACCCATATATAAAATCAAATATGACAATCTGAGGCCTTCATTTCTAATAACATAAATTCTGTGAAGTTGAAGGCCTGGTAGGGTCTGAGGGGAAATGTGGCAGGCCCTTTTCTAAGCCTTTTGTATCTATTAACTTATTTCTCACAACCACCCCATGAGAAGGCTATTAAGATGAGGAAATTGATTCATAAAGAGGATGACTAACCTGCCCAAGATTGCAAAGCTAGTGACAGAATTAAGATTTGAACCCAGGAAAATAGAAATAATCCACATAGCTTGCTGTCTCATAACTTATTATGGCCTCACTGGCCACAAGTCTATTGGTATCATAACAACGTAACTTTACTATTCCATTTATATGCCAAGTTTCCTTGAGCCCCTTGCTTGAAATCCTCACATTACTGTGTTCACCAATTCTATTCTATCAGGCTTTAAAAAAATTAAATCCCAACCAAGACTATACACTATACAGCTTTAAACCAGACTTCAACATCATATACTTGGTATATGTTGTTTTATCAAATTATAAAATGAAAGTATTTCATATTTCTGGAACAGACAGAACAACACTTTTGATGATTACTTGAGGAACTATAAAACTTGCAGACTCTTAATCTTGAATCCACTGTAGCTCTAATATAATTATTATACAACTAACAATGGCAAGATGTCAGCAATGATAAACAGAGTATCAAAACTATTCCTGAATTTTCCCCCCTGCTCTACAGTGAAGGCTACAGGTGTGAAAGGCACTAACTACTAAGACATATTAAGTACAAATGTGATGTCTCATAACTTGCTTCAGTCCTACATGCAAGCAAAGCTCAGATCTTACTATGGTAAATCCATATAGGCAGGATGGATTTTTTTGAAGGTCAATAAGAAATATTAGAATTGGTTAGTGCTGAATAATACTATTTTCAGGAAGCTTTTCAGGATAAACTAAAGCAATATTAGATTATAAAAATCCAAATTTGTTTAATTTAAACAAACTTTTATAAACTGTGAACTAATATTCTGAAAACTGCCAACAACAAACAATTGACTTTTAGTCCTTTTATCTTCCTTCAGAATAGCTCTAGGAACTATGAAGGCAGCTATTAACCTGAGCCCTTTAACAGGATATCAGTGAAGACCACCACCATTTTGATAATTGCTTGAATGAGCTAACACGAAAAATACCAGTAAAAAGCGTTACCAATAAGATACTTAGGTAATGACTCTAAACTATGAAGATATTTGCAAGTTATTTTTTTCCATGGGGTGTAAATCACTTTAATAACACTAGTTGATAAGATTGCTCTTGATATGCATGAGATAAATTAGTGGCAAATATTGGCCTTATTGTACAGGTTTATCTTGATGACTAAATGACCTTAATCAAGTAATTAACTCAGTTTATGATGAACCAAAGGTTTCCCACCTCCTAACCCTCTACTGAAAATCAATTATGATTGTTTAAATGTAAGATCCTGGAGAAACAAACATATGCCAACCCCTTACCCCCTCATTAGGTAACCAAAGGATAGCTAAAAAATTACAATAATAATCAGGATTCATCCTAGTTAAGAATAAGAACGCTTCTCCAATATGGAAATGGCTACTAACACCCAGCAATTCTCACTAAGTGTAAGTGCCAAGTGCTGCATGAGCACAAAATTAAAATTTGTGGACAACAGGGGGTGAGGGTGAGGGCAGGATTTGGGGGATGAGGGAACACTGGGGGGATAAGGACACATTTGTAATATCTTACTCAATAAAGGGAAAAAATTAAAATTTGTTCAGGTCAATAAGCTATGCGTATCTATGGGAATTATAAGGCAATCCTATTTCTTTTCAACTAGCTGTATCAATAGAAAGAAGAAATGATATAGATCAGAGATGCTTACATATATTCTGCTTTGAAAAGTTATTAATCTATATTGTCTCCAGAGCACCTACTCTGAGTCAAATTCCCACTACAGCCATCCAAACTAGTGGTTCCCACATTGGATGGACATTTGCATCCCTTGGAAGGCCTTTAAAAAATATCACAGGCCCAACCCAGAATTTTGGGGGTAGGGCCGGCATTCAGTATTTTTACAAGTTCCCCAGTTAGCTCTAGTATAGAGCTGGGGAGAGAATAACTGATCTAAATAAATAGCTCAAGGGTCTAGACTGTTAGAGGAAGAAGCCAACCTGAGAGTAACAACTAGCTGGGACTATGACAGTGTACTTCCTCTCCCTCACTCTTAACTACACTCTGATTCTCTAACAAAGTGTTCACAGAGTGTGAAGGAAACACAGAAGACACTTTTTGTTGCTATGATCCTTCATTACAGATGGCAATGTTTAGTGTATGCTGGATCATGCATTATTCACGCCCATCCTACTACTTCAGTAATTATCCTTTCTAACTGCTATCTTTTAAAATGCAACATCAAAACCTCTCCAGGGCACATAGATGGAAACACCCTTGTGTGTTGCACCTCACAATAATATGATAGACTTTATTGTAATCTTCTTTTATTGACAAGATGCCCTGCACCAGGTGCTCAAGAGAAGGGCCTATCATGCACGTTTTGAACAACCCACATTACGCCAAATGCACTGTTACAAAACAGGACCTTGCTGCTGTTGGTGTGCTTTGTGTGCACAGTGGCGGCTGAATAAACTTAAGTTACAAAGATGATTTTAAAAGTGGTTTCCTTCCAAGTACTTACTTATATGCATCTGGGGGGAGGGGGGAAGGGGAGGGGAAGTTGCTAAGGATTAGTGAGTGTGCTGCAGCAATTTGATAGTGACAACCCCTTTATTATTTCAAAACATATGCTATGCACATATTATTTAAGAACTATTAGGAATATTTAACAAAAAAATTAATATGACAAATTGACACATATTATTCTAGGTATTTAGTGAATAAGTTCTATCACCGTTTTAAGAATTCATAAATATATCTCAAAGAGGAAACTGCAACAATAGCATAGAGAACATGAAACCATGCGTGGCAGACAGCAGCAGCTGTGTGCCTACCGAGCATCTGTTCTTCCTCTTTCTATTATTTTGTTTAGAGAAACAAATGGCCAGCTAAAAAGCTATTGAGTTCCTAAGCCTCCCTGGTAGTAAGGAGTGGTTGCTTTTGGTAAAAGTATGCTGGATATTTCTGGAAAAGTTTATCTTCTTTTTTCTTCTTCCTGCCTGGAATGTGGATCTGGAGGTACAGAGGTCACCTGTGAAAGTCACACCCTAAAGATGGAGAGGCAGAAAGAGATCTGGGAGCTGGGACCCAGGTTTCATGTGTCTTTTTCAGCCTGGGGTAGTGTGAGAAGGCTTCTCTGATGGCTTAAAATTTGAACTGAGAACTAAATGATAAAATGAGGCAATCCTGCTGGGTTTTGGGGAGTGAACCTTGGTGCGCTTGATGGATAGGGAGAGGGCAGTGTGGCTGTAGTGGAGGAGGTGAGGCCACAGAGGGAGGCAGATGTCTATGCGGAGGGTTCTGGTTTTACGCTGGTTACAATTGAAGGGTGTTTATTTTTTAAAGAGCTTGGAAATGGTTTCTTTTTCTTTTCTTTTTAAAATATATTTTTATTGGTTTCAGAGAGAAAGGGAGAGGGAAAGAGAGACAGAAATATCAATGATGAGAGAGAAACATTGATCAGCTGCCTTCTGAATGCCCCCTACTGGGGATGGAGCCTGTAACCCAGGCATATGCCCTTGACTGGAACCCAACCCGGCACCTTTTAGTCTGCAGGCTGACACTCTATCCACTGGGCCCAATCAGCTAGGGCACAATTGAAGGGTTTTAAGTGGTAGTGACAAGATGTGATTTCAACTTCAGAAAGATCTTTGGCTTCTCTGTGGAGGGATGGAGTTGGGGTGGAGGAAACAGTGGAAGCAGAGTCTAGTTACAAGGTATTTGCAGAAGGGAGTCTGGGTGAGGGACCTGGAGGCCTAGAGTTGTGATGGGAGTGGAAAAATTCAGGAGAGACTGCAGAGGTTGAGACAATAGTACAACTCGCTGATGGAGTTGATGCAAAGTGAGAGAGAGAGAGAGAGAGAGAGAGGAATCCAAACGAATCCTAGGTTTTAGCCTGAACAGCTGGATAGATGGGGTAACCTTAACTGAGACATGGAACACTTCAAGTAGAGTCCATTTGGGTTTGGTAAAAACCCGTGGTTCAGTTTTGACCGTCTTAACCTGGAAGTGCCTTTTAGACTTACAAGTAGAGAGGTTGGGAAGACAGATGACCCAGGAAGCTTAGGAGAGTGTCCTTTATAAAGAAAACTGGACATGTGACCCTATTAACATGGACACAGAAAAGTGGATTCAAGAAAGCCTAGGTAAGTCCATGATGCAGCCCGGTGTTGAAGTCTGGCCAAATAAGGACTTCAGTAACACTGGACTCAATCCAATCCTTTCTCTCTCAGAGTGTGAATGCACAACACATGGAAAACGTATACAGTTTTTGTAGGAGCAGGATCTTATGGAGAGAAGACACAACAAAAGCCACGAGGGCAGCAGAAATCATGAGATTGGGAGAAGAGATAATTAGTGGTTGGAGAAGCCAATGGTAGAATAGAACACTAGAGCCAGGAGCAACAGAAAATCCTGTTACCAGAGCTGTTTCTCCCCTGAACAACTTTCTTATTTCCAAAAAAGTCCCCACCATGTGTGGTTCATACTATTTCTTCAAATATTTCTCCTGTTCTTTTCTCTCTTTTCCTTCTGTTATTCCCACTAGGCAGGCGTGTGTTACACCTCTTGTAGTTGTCCCACAGTCTTGGATAGTCTGTTCTCTCTTTTTCAGTCTGTTCTCCTGGCTTTTCAGTTTTGGAATATTCTACTGACATAGCCTCAAGCATAGAGGTTGAGCTAGGCATCCACTCCATCAAATGCATTCTTCGTTTCTGTTACTGGTTTATCGCTAGTATGTCTATTTGGTTCTCTCTCTCTTTTTTTTTTTTAAATATATTTTATTGATTTTTTACAGAGGAAGGGAGAGGGATAGAGAGTTAGAAACATCGATGAGTGAGAAACATCGATCAGCTGCCTCCTGCACACCCCCTACTGGGTATGTGCCTGCAACCAAAGTACATGCCCTTGACCGGGATCGAACCTGGGACCCTTTGGTCCGCAGGCCGACGCTCTATCCACTGAGCCAAACCGGTCAGGGCGGTTCTCTCTTAGGATTTCCACCTCTCTGCTGACATTGCCACCTGTTCTTACAGGCTGCCTACTTTATCCAGGAGAGCCCTTAGCATATTCATCATAACTGTTTTACATTCCTGGTCTCATTATTCCAACACCATGGCCATATCTGAGACGGTTCTGATCCTGGCTCTGTCTCTTCAAACTGTGCCTTTTGCCTTTTAGTATGCTTTGTAACTTTTGCTGAAAACCAGGCATGGTATAACAGGTAAAGGAACTCTCGGAGGGGAAGCATTCTAGTCTTTAGTGAGCCTGGGCCACTGGGCTGTGAACTGCTCCAGTGCTTCTCGGTCCACTCCAAACCCTTGAGGTGGGCCAGGATGGCTAGAAGAGGCTGGAGTTGAGTATTTCCCTTTTCCCAGGTTGGTTAGGCTCTGATAACACCCCAATAGGTGAGGCCCTGGTAAAATGCTTTCTCCTGAGGGCAGGCCTTGTTAAGAACAGAATGCTCTGGTGTATTTCAAAATGATTCCTTCCCCCCAACCCCTCTCAGAAGTATGACGGGATTGTCTTCTGTGAGGATCTAGTTGTGCTCCTGAAAGCAAAACTCCCAACAGTGTGGGTCTCCTCTATGACTGTCTCTCCAATTTGGGGCACTGGGGGGATGGGGGCAGCAGCTTGTCCTGTGACCTTACTTCTCTGATGACTCAACACACAGAATGGTTTGAGTTAGTCATTAAAAAAAAACGGATTTCTAACATTTATAAGCCAGAAAATTTAACATTAATACTGACCAATAACCCTGAAGAAGAGCTGCTGATTTCTCAGTGTGTTTAGCTTTCTATTTGTTGTTAAGATGGAGTGACGACTTCCAACCTCCTTTAACTGCTGGACTGGAAACTGGAACCTCTGGTTAGAACAGCTTCAGATAGTGCTGGTTCCCCATGTGCCCCTGTAATAAACCACTGCTCTCTGACATACCTGGGCCCAACACACACAGGGCCGTTCTTTTTTCCACTCTTTAAGAGTTCTGTTTCCTCAGAGATGCTGTCCTTTCCCACCAGTCTTGTAATTGAATCACTGAATGATGCAGCAGCTTAACCTCACAGGGAGCTCATTAAAACCACAGAATTCTCAGAGTTTCACCAAAATATTCTCTAAAAGGCTACAAACAACCCCAAATACCTTAGAAAACAGCTTTTTATTAACCACAATTACTATACCTGCTATCTCTCTCTGGGATTTCCTTAATAGCGATTCTGACTTGGTTGCTCAGGTCTCGACCTGCATAGACTATCCCGTAAGTGCCTTTTCCTAAAACGACTCTGTCACCATTTTCGTCATATTCATAGTCATACTACAAAAGGAAAAATGGAGAGAGAATATTGAAACATTAGTTGCATTCTACATTTTTAACATCAACTTTTTCCAAGAGCATTTTTCCTTATTTTAGCAGATGGCTATACAAGGGAAACAATAAGATGAAATTTGAAAAAAAGCAGCTTTAAGAACCAAAAAATAGACATTCGCAATATAAACCAGATTGTGTGCTCATGTTTTCACAGCTGGTACAAATACAGTGGGGACTATGTATTTAATCCGTAAGAGTTTTTTTCAAAAGCCCACTTGGATTCTTTTACCCACTAAATCCTGTTTTTCACTGACTCTAGAGATAAGTATGATTAGTATCAATACCTATCACATCTAATTAATCTTTCTTTTGTTTTTCAGCTTCTGGTGCTATTAAAGTATTTCACACTCTACCAGGAGAATAAAACCACTGAAAGGCTTTGGGTAAGAAGAAAAATTTGAGGTCTTACTAGTTTGCCTGGCCCATAGAGGACAGAGAATTATCTACATGGTGGTCAGGAAAAGTAGAACAGAGCTGGGCCAAGAGCCAAGGGAAGGCAGGGGATGTTAAATGACAAAAATGGAGAAAAAGAGGAGCAGCAGGGAAAGGAATGTTAAAAAAAATAAAAGGTAGAATTACACTGCTTATGTATTTTGCATTTTATTTCTATGGCAATAGGCAAGCAAATCGGGTTGTTGCTAAGGGAAACGGCTGCATTTTGAAGCAACAATGGGAATACTTCTGGAATCATCCCTCTATTGTTGCCTGCCCAGAGCAATCTAAACTGGTGCTGGAAAGAGAATCAGCCTAGGACAGCAAATGACAAAGTGGTGATGCACGTAGTCCTTGCATGGTCAAGGGACCGACAGTAAAGCAACCTTTGAAAAAGCCATGCATTTCCCTCTGTTCTTCATCACATCAACAGAGTGGTCACCTCAACGACCCTAATAGTACCTTTGCTAATTTTCAGTATCGCCTTCTTAATAAAGAAATATGAAAAACAGAAATCACTATTAATAATATCAATAAAATGCTAAAAATGCTGCAGGTGCACATATAAAGTTTGATTGATCTCTCCTCCCTCAGATCTTTACTCAACTATCACCTTGTCAGGGAGTCTTCCCTGGCTGCCTTGTCTGAAACTGCACACTCCATTAAACTAACTTCCTAATGCCTTCCTTGCTTTTTCTCCAAACATACTACAAATTTTACTTATTCATGTTGTTTATTGTTCACTAGAATGTAAGCTCAATGAGGGATGTTCCTCTGTTGTTCTCTGCTGTGTCCCCAGCACCTAGAACAGTGCCTACTACATAGTAGGTGTCCAATAAATATTTGAGTGAATTGATGAGATACACTTGGACACACAAATGTGGTATGACAATTATTTTAAGCTGATGAAAACATCTAAGTAAGTAGCAGCTGCAGAAAAATCCTTATCTAAACTTCTTGTGCTGACTTAAGCAAAGTTTCTTGAAAATACAGCTGCCATAACCTCTCTCTGGGAGGTTTAGGACCACTCATACCTGGATGAGAAATTACAAAGACAAAACCTTTCCAAAAGCTTCTGTACCTTCCACTTGCTTCTACTTAGTTTCCCGCCACGTGCTTTCTTTCCCTTGAAGTTCTATTAAGGATTTTTCTTGGTAAGATCAACTCTTAACTCTAGCTGTTCAGGAGCCACTTCTTTGTATGTTCCCATATACATGAATAAATTTTATCTTTTCTCCTGTTAATGTGTCTTTTGCCAGTTAATTTGCAGGTCTCCATCAGTGAACCTAAGTTGGTAGAGGAAAAACTTTCCTTCTGCCAACAGAATGAATGATTGGGTAACAAATTGACACTCATATCATACAACACTCTAAGTGACATATTTGCTCAGACAGAGTGGTAACTGGGTATTGAGCTTTAGATATGAACCAAAATAGAAAAAGGATGCTGAAGAAACTTGATGATTCCGAATTGATTTATGAATTCTAAACTGTAATTCACTGTTTGTGAGGCAAATAATCAGGAAAGGAGATGGTAAGGTATTTCATCATCCTGCAGATGCTTGAGTCAAAGGAAAACCTTCCTTGTATTTCGCTTGTCCCCACTCCATCCCAAAAGGGGTCACCTTTCCCTTTATGCACACTGGCAACTATGTATAAACAGGTGCACAGGGCCAGCTGCCATGACTGTCTCAGGCTTGTTTCAATCATAAGCTCATTTTGATAAAACAGTGAGGTGAAAATGCAGAAAAAGAAGGATGTTGGGGGAAAAGAGAGGGAAGAAAGGAGGGGGGAGAGAGAGAGGAGGGACAGATGGAAGGAGAATATATCCATGTGTTTGGGAGAGGAATGAAGAGGGAGACACAACATATTTTGTATTGAGCACCAGAAGTATCTCGGTAAATTTTTTTTCAATTAAATAAGAAAAGGAGATGAAAAGAGAATGGATTGATAATGGCCGGATTATGGTATTCAGCTTGATTATGGTATTCATTCTTTCATTGATTTAACATTGATTAAACAACCTTCAAGCCAATTTACCAGCATTTATTCTGCCCCCTTCAATCCATATACTCCTCCCCTCAGTTTGAGATACTGTTTAAACAATTCTGGTTTTGTCATACCCACACCCAGCTTCAAACTTTTCAAAGCCTTCTGACTGTACTTCTGCTTGGATACCCAGCACCATGTGAGACTATGTGATTAAAAAAGGTAGAACCATGCTCTGGTTTCTCTTCAGACCGAATAAATCTTTCGCCTTTTACTAAAAAAGATAGAACCTTGGCCAGGTGGCTAAGTTGGTTGGAGTGTCGTTCCGTGTACCAAAGGATTGTGAGTTTGATTCCCAGACAGGACACCTACCTAGATTGCAGGAGATAGACGATCTCTCTCTCTCTCTCTCTCTCTCTCTCTCTCTCTCTCTCTCTCACACACACACACACACACACACACACACACATATCCTCAGGTGAGAATTATTTTAAAAAAGGGGATAGAGCCATGATCTAGCCTTGGGATGTTAAGAGTTCAGTGCAGACTATCAAATTACAATGCAGTAAGAAGAGCTAGGGCAGAGGAGTGGGTAAAAATGTTATGAGAGTAGAGCAAAGTGAGAAGAGGTGTTGAAAACTGATTCAAAGAAAAAAATGACACGAATTGGATCTCAAAAAATTAGGATGCACCCAATCAAGTGGGACAGAGCAGAAAAAGCATGTGGAGTTGGGCATCTGCATGTCAAGCCCAAAGACAGGCTGTCTGGAAAACAGAAAAGAATTTGGCACTGCCATACTGTAGGGTGCAAAGGAAAGGGTAAGGTATAGCCAGACAGTTAAGAACATCCTTATAATTAGGGGAGTCACAGGATTAAATCCACATGAGAGATCTGTCTGCTGATGACAGAGATGTTTATTAACAGAGGAGAGAGATTAGGCCCTGAGATGGGGGAGTGATAGAATGAAATGAATGGGCTGGAGGAAAGACTGGGTGTGGGGGTAAGACAGGCTGGAGTGGCAGTTTCTCTGAGATGTCTGGTTTGGGTTACTGGGCAGATGTCCTGCTCTTAGTGAAGCTATGGATGGCTGGGAGAACAAAAATGGGAACCACAGTTGATAAGTGTTAGAACCCTTATGATTAATTGTAATCTAATCAATGATGAACTGTATTCAATTGTTCAGTGATTTCAATATAAACATTAATACATTAAATTATTTACAATATGGGTTCATAACCCTTTCATGTCAAAATACAGCCTTGAGTCAAAAAACATGGCTTGGAATCAAAAGAAGTTGTTTCTCTTTCTGTTTAAAAATAGAAAAGTCCTCCCAAAGTGATATTGAGCTATATTTGAAAAACCTTGTACAGTCTGTACTAATCTTGAAAATTATAAAATACTTGAGCTAAGAAAGGATATTTAAGATCTTCTTGTTCAACTCTCATGTAAGGAATGAGATCATCTCAGCCCAGTGGGAGTATAAATTTTGTCCAAAGTTATAAAACTGGCTGTATGCAAAGTTAAAACCAGAACTCAAGGTTCCTGTCCCAGCACGGGGATCTCACAAGAGCCAGGTATGATCAGAGGGGGTTCTGACCATGACCCAAAGAGGCTAAATCTCTCCCACAATTGGATTGCTTCAAAGAAAGCTGACTATTCAAATCAGAAATAAAAGCAAATATTAACTTGGGCTTTGAATGAAAAGTTTTCAAACATCAAAAATTCGAAGGATTAGCTTCAAATTTGTGGCTTACAGGACCACATCAATAGCTAATATTCACTGAATGTTGACACCACTCTAAGTGAAGTTAAAAACATTAAAAAATGTCTGACTTTTCCAACATTTTAATTTTGTTTTGGGCCCAGGAACCTAAAAAGCTTCAGGAATTATATCGAAACAATTTAAATTCTATCTCAAATTGAAGTAAAGATCAGATAATAATTATTCAGCATAAAAACCTTAATCAGCAAAGTAATCTTTCCTGTTTACACTGAAAGGAATGGGAAGTGGAGGAATTATTTTTGGTATGTCATTTACAGGCTGAAGTTCGAGTTTAGTTTACAGTAATGAAATTAGCTCATTTTAACAAAATATTCAGAATACTGAAAAAACAATTTTAATTAAGAAGGTTGAAAGCATCTAAGAAATGTAATAAAAGATATAATGGAATTATCATAAATTATGCAAAAATATAAATTAAGGCTGTTTAATAACTCATATGGTAAAGTGCTCTGGCCAGGAAGGGTACTGAGTGAGAGGGAGGGCCAAGGCAGGGCTCATCGTCTTCACAGCCCAGAACATCACTGGGTCCTTTCATTAACGTGATGCTGATAGAACACCCACAAAAAGAATGCCAGCAATATCAAGAGTTGTGGCATCATGGCCAACTAAGCCAAAATACTTAAAACAAGTATGTGTGAATTTACTGTACAGACTATCCAGATCGTTGGGAATACTGCAGAAGCCATTCTGCGTCACAGATTTGAAATTTTTCTGATGGAATGCAAAGGACAGAAGTCATATGCCCCTCCCCCACAACACTCTCTCTTCCTCAGTAAAGCTTAACATAGTTCACTTTTTAAAACCAGTCACGGAGAAACTTAGGTAAAATGAACATGGAAACCTAAGTCCTTACCTCCAGGGAGTCACCTTCACAGTCTCCTTCCTCCACACCTCTGCCCTTCTCTTCGGTAATGTTGTTCACCATTTCGAAAAACCTACGATGGAAGTTGGAATGTGGTCACTCGTAATACATAAAACAAGTATGTTCCAAAGTGATTTCAGAGCAAAAAATAAATAAATAGGAGCTAAGAATGTCAGGCAATAAAAACAACCATCAGTATCAGAGTGAAAATATGATTTTTCAAAAAGAAAACAGGTTGGTAGGCTCTTCCAGAAATTTCCAACCTCATGCCCCACTTCATGTAGACAGTACTATATACATAGTATAGAATTAGAACAGTGAGGCTAGACAAGGTCATAGAAATGACAAGGTTAGGAAAGTGGACTTGGATATCAGACCAAGACTGCTAGTATTTGTATGATTAAGCTCCTCCAACTCAGACTCATCCCTTAATTATAAAGTGGGGGATATACTTATCAGTCTCTTAGGCGGTTGTGAAGATGACTTGAGGTATACCTGTAAAGTGCTTACTTAGCATAGTGCACTCATTAAAATGAGCTATTATTGTTTTGCTGCTGTTGATGTTTTATTTAAATGGGACCTAAAGTAATACCCATATTCTAGAATAGTGTCTCCAAATTCTGAGGTGACTATTTGATACAGTGTTGGCCACTACAACACTTGATCTCAGTGACTGAAATCTTCTGCCTGAGCACCTCAATATCATAGATATAGTCTGCAAAACACTAATGTGAACCAGGAGCAGGCGAGCTTATATGTTTGTGACAGAAGCCACCTCACTGTTGGTGACATTTTCTTCAGGAGCTCTTCTTATAAAGTTTTCTTTTTTCTGGAGGCCAACTCAGAGCCAAGAAAAATAATTACAAGCGAGAAACAGATTTTCCCCGTGGAACACTAGCCGTGCTATCCGTTCCAAGGGGATGCCAATGGTCTCCAGACATACAGTAAGGGAGGCACTGTGAACAGGTACTGTGAGAGCTGATGTTCTCACGGGCAGGTCATGCTGCGCACTGCCAGCCCAAGGGAAGAACAGGTTGCCTACCAGATAGAACCTTTCTTCTATCTCTGTACCAATGAGATGATAGAAAATATGTATTGGTCTGCCCCCAGTTCCTGGCACAGAGCTCCTAAAACCCTTGTAGTTTTCTAAGTGATAAGAACACTGCAGGCATCTCTTGTTCTAATATTTGGTCTTTGACCCCCATCCCTGGCACAGGGCTCCTAAAACCCTTGAACAATCCCTAAGTGATAAGAGAAATGGCAGCATTTTTTGTTCTAGCGCAGTGGTTTTCAACCTTCCTAATGCCGCGACCCTTTAATACAGTTCCTTATGTTGTGGTGACCCCCAACCATAAAATTATTTTCCTTGCTACTTCATAACTGTAATTTTGCTACTATTATGAATAGTAATGTAAATATCTGATATTCAGGATGTATTTTCATTGTTACAAATTGAACATAATTAAGGCATAGTGATTAATCACAAAAACAATATGTAATTGTATGTTTTCCGATGGTCTTAGGCGACCCCTGTGAAAGGGTCATTTG